TTGTCGCTTGGATTGTATGGCACTTATGCGCCCGATGTGCATTTGTTGATCAAGTGAAATTTATTTAACGTAAGATTCTTAATACTAACTTAAATTCTGGTGGTCTTATTGAATGCATTCCAAATGCATCGATGTCTACTTAGAAGTCTCCATAGCCATGACAAAACATTCATCAATTGAGATTCATCATCAATTTTTCTTTTTAAGATTACAACTCAAAAATAAGGGATAAATTTTATAACTTGTGATGAAATATGTGTTTATTGTGACTGGTTGTGACCAATTGTAATTGGTTGTGAGCAATTTTGTGTTAATTGTGACCCATTGTGACAGATTGTGACTTGTTAATTGTGTTAATTGTGACATATTGTGACTTGATCACATATGGTCACAATTAGTCACATTGAATCCAATTTGGTCACAATTAGTCACAATTGGTCACATTGAATATAAATTTGGTCACAATTAGTCACATTGAATACAATTTTGGTCACAATTAGTCACATTGAACACAAATTTGGTCACAATTGAAAATTTTCTGAAATGGGAGTGGGTGTTGACGTAATCTCCTATTTTTAATTTTTTTAAAAAAATTGGGAGGTGAAGGTAGGGGTGAGGGGTTGGGGTATGTGGATCCGGGGGTGGTGGTATGATTTTCCGTTTTTAATTTTCTGAAATTTTTTTGGAAAGTGAAGTGTGGTGTGGTGTGGTGTGGTGTGGTGGGGTGGGATGGGGAGCGGGTTGAATTTTCTGTTTTTAATTTCTGGACATTTTTGTGTGTGGGTGGGTGGGTCGTGTGGGGGTGGGGACAATTAATTTTAATTAATCATATATTATTCATGCAAAAATATGAAATATTCTACGGTTAGTTTAAAGTATAGCCGTCATTTTTGACCTTGCCTCACATGTGGGGCCCAGTTTTCTCATTTTAATGATATGGAAAATGTGCACTAAACAAAGTCATAAATTATTAATTAAAATTAACACTTGATTTTTGAAATAATTTGACAAGTTCGATAATTTTGAAATGTAATTTTGAAATGTAGCAAACATGTATTTTATTTACTCATTTATGGGTGCCTTTGTTGGGCTTTGGATGAGATAAGCATGATAAAACTACTCCAAATAATACTCTCTTTTAAAATTCCGGGCCCTTGTTTGAGCTCCATTTTAATGAGACTTTGAAAAAAAAAATGTATTTTAAAATAATAACTTTTTGAAAAATATGTTAAAAAGTAAGAAAAAATTTGGATTTGCATGTANTATCGTTTTGAAAGAAGAAATAAAGATTTTCTAAGTAAATATTTGAAAACTAAAAAGCTAGAAAAATAAGTAATTTCTTTAAAAAAAGAAAATCTCATGTGCTCTAAGTCGACAAGGAGAATATTGAAATTTTAAATATTTTTTTTTCCATATTTTTCCCTTTTTTTTTTTTTTTTTTTTTTTTTTTTTTTACCGAAACTCATTTTTTTCAAAAAAAAAATTTTAACCACATATTCCGTATAAAATAATTTTACATACAAATCAAACATTTTTTTCCTACTTTTTAACCATACAAACTCTAAAAATTATTATTACAAAATCTATTTTCTCAATCGGGCTTAAATTTTTAACACTCACAAAACCACACAAAATATGTCCACTAGCACAAACACAATATTAAACCAACGAACAACCAACCCCATCGCTATCAGACGAGTAGCCGCCCGTGTTGGATCCATCGACATTCATTTTTTTTTTTTTCTTGTGTCAATACATATTTATTAATTTAGATATATATCTGTAATTTACTTTCGTTTCCAAGAAGCTCTTGTAGTTTAGTTGGTTAGATTTCTCGTTAATGAAATGGGATGGGAGATCTTAAGTTTGACTCTTAACGATTGCAGACCTTTATGCAAATTATTGCAGTTTAATATTTTTCACAATTTTAGAGCGTAGGCATTAAAAATCGGTGCAATAGGAAGATTCGAACATGTGACTTCCCTTGAGATTATAAAAAGCTTGTCTACTATGGCATTTGGTGGATGTTAGCATCATATGTAACAAAAACATATATTTTCATTTTTGTCAAGTAATAGATATATTCTCTTTTTCTTTTAATTTTTAACTAAATTTCGACCTTAAAATAACCCAACAATTAAATCACTGATTCACCGATTGAACCACTGATTCAATGACCCGATAATTTGTTTTGGTCAACAATGGGATCGGATATTATAACCATATTTTGAAGAATGAAAGAATAATAAAGAAGAAAATTAAATTAGCAGTTGACAACTGAAACCCAAGAATGTATTTTTTTTTTAATTTTGTCATTAAAGACTATTTAATCAACAAAAAAAAAATTAGTAGAAGAGATAAGCATCGACACCAATTTTTCTTCACACATTCAACGATAAAATCTTTGTCATATTTAAAACTATGAAATAATCCTTTTTCTATTAGATTGAATATTATTAGGAAATCGAATCTTTTAAGTAAATAATTGGACCCATTTCTCAAACTTGAAATTCTTACACGATAAATATTATTAGACGGGTAGATAACATACATTCACACTTACAATTCGAACTACGATATAATTAATATCAATTCACGATATTTGTTATTATTGCGGTCGTTGATAGTCAAGGGTCAACGACCGCCCATTCTCACTTAAGTTCATGGATTCGCAACTCACAACCCGCCACTGACCACCACCACAGCCACCAACCGTCATCATTTTTCGGGTCAATCTTGCAAAAATGAACCCATTTTGTTATTTCTTAAATGTCATTGCAAAGTTCAAAGAATAAAAAGTGTAAAGCAAATTTATTTTTCAAATTTCATTTTCAGACCTGAATACAAAATCTCTAAATCTAAATTCATATCCAATATGGTGGTGTTCCAAATCTTCTCCTTCATCTGGTAGTGGTGATGGCGCAAGAAACGATGGTGGTACAGATGTAATTCTCGTGATTTTGGGTCAAGGCAATTTATTTTAGATCTAGTGGTGATTTGGGATCGGTGGCTGGTGATGGATTTTGGGTTGGGTGGTGGCAATGGTGTTGACTGTTGATGGTGGTTATGGTGCAGATTGATGATGATAGCTCTAGTGGTTTGTGATAGTAGCGAGATGGGATGGCGTTGATTGTTGTGATGGCGACTGTGCTGGTTTTTTTTTTGGCAATGATGGTAGCTAGATGTGGTTATGGTGGTGCATATCTTCTCCTTTTTCATTTTTAGATATGTTCCCAGATGTGATGTTGGTTTGTGGTTGTTTGTACGACATGATGGTGGTGGTGGTGGGATAATGAATGTTACAAGTGACATTGGTATGATATTGAATATTACAAGTGGTGGTAGTGATAACAACAATAGCCACGATGACTTCGAAAATAGATGGTAATATGTATGTAACACACTTTGATACAAGTAATTGGGTGACAACGGATGAAAATATGTAATTTAATATTATGTAACATGAAATAATAAAATGTGATACACTCTATTACATAATATATTGTTAAAAAACTAAATACAATAAAAACAATATTTTAAAAATAAAAAAAGGTTTAAAAGTTTATTTAGAATTAATCATTTTTTTAAGTATATTTTTGAATTGTTCCAATGCATGAACCAGTATTATACTGGGTAAAACCACCAAGTTGGTGCTCCCAGAATAAAAGGGGTCCAAATTTGAAAAAGGTCCATTAACTAAATAAGAGAAAATTACACCAATCACCTTCTTTTTTTAAAAAATTTACATTCTACTTCTACTACTTTTTTTCTGCAAATACTTACTCTTTTGAACCATAGAATCACTTCTCCTTCTCTTTAACAACTACCCATTGGCTTAACCCAACCCAGTCCAACCCAACTCAACCCAATCTAATCCAAACGGCAGTATCCACCAACTACCATAAAAAAGAAGCAAATGTCCACCCCAATCTTCGTCACGCACCACTTGGCACTAGCAATGCCACCCACCATCAAGCACCATCACCACCACCTACAACCAAGAACGGGAAAATGGTTATCTAATTCGAATTTAAGGGTTCAACTTAGTGGCGGATCCAGCACCTGGCGAGCACCGGCGGCCGCATATGCTGGATCCAGCATCAGATATATATATATATATATACAGAAATGATCTAATGAGCACCGGTGCTCATCTNATATATCTGATAATTCATTTTGTTTTCAAACATATCTTATAGCTTAATTTGTTAGAGCCTCCACATCCAAATTTGAATTCCTGTGATCGAATCTCTTCCAAACTAATTTACTGTGCAATTTTTCTAGCTCCACAATTTTTACCAAAACAAATGCAGTAGGGAGGGGATTCAAACCTGTGTGCTCTCTTTAAGATTATTGAAAACTTGACCATCGTGGCATTCATTGAATGTTGACACTTAACGTTACAAAATAATATATATTCAGTTCTAGGGGTTTTAATATAATTGGAAAGATTCGAACATGTGTTATTCCTTTGAATTATACAAAATTTGGCAATTATGTCATTTGATAAATTTTGTTAAAAATGTAACAGAGTTATATATGTTTAGTTTTAGCAAAATATTTGTTATATTTAATTT